TGTTTAGTCCTGTTTAGTTCTGGTTTAGTTCTGGTTTAGTTCTGGTTTGTTAGTTCTGGTTTAGACCTGGTTTAGTCCTGGTTTAGACCTGGTTTAGTTCTGGTTTAGTCCTGGTTTAGACCTGGTTTAGTTCTGGTTTAGTCCTGGTTTAGACCTGGTTTAGTCCTGGTTCAGTTTGAGTCTGAACTTTTCTGGGACGAAGGATTTCAAACAGGAAACTGAAGAAGAATGACAGGAAGTGGAAGTGGGGCAGAGGGAGGGACTTCCTGTCTGACCCCAGAATAATGTCCCGCTAAACGCTAATGAGTCTTTACCAGATCCGCGTCACTCAAGACCAGAACCAGAACCAGACCAGAACCAGACCAGAACCAGACCAGAACCAGACCAGAACCAGAACAAAACAGAACGGTTTAAAATGTACAGTTTATTTATCAGAAAAAAATGATTCTGCTGATAAACAATAGTAAAACCAGAACTAAACCAGGACTAGACCAGGACTAAAAGTAAAAGGTTGTTTATAAAATGTGATTGAAGTTGGTTGTGGACTCCATACATGTTTTTACTGTGTGTGTTTTCCTCACTGGGGTTTGGTCCTGGTTTGGTCCTGGTTTAGTCCTGGTTTAGTTCTGGTTTAGTTCTGGTTTGGTCCTGGTTTGGTCCTGGTTTAGTTCTGGTTTAGTTCTGGTTTGGTCCTGGTTTGGTCCTGGTTTAGTTCTGGTTTGGTCCTGGTTTGGTCCTGGTTTAGTTCTGGTTTCCTGGTTTGGTCCTGGTTTAGTTCTGGTTTGTCCTGGTTTGTCTGGTTTGGTCCTGGTTTGGTTTTGTCCTGGTTTGGTCCTGGTTTAGTCCTGGTTTGGTCCTGGTTTAGTTCTGGTTTGGTCCTGGTTTGGTCCTGGTTTAGTTCTGGTTTGGTCCTGGTTTAGTTCTGGTTTGGTTCTGGTTTGGTCCTGGTTTGGTCCTGGTTTAGTTCTGGTTTGGTCCTGGTTTAGTTCTGGTTTGGTCCTGGTTTAGTTCTGGTTTGGTCCTGGTTTAGTTCTGGTTTGGTCCTGGTTTAGTTCTGGTTTGGTCCTGGTTTAGTTCTGGTTTGGTCTGGTTTGGTCCTGGTTTAGTTCTGGTTTGGTCCTGGTTTAGTCCTGGTTTGGTCCTGGTTTAGTTCTGGTTTGGTCCTGGTTTGGTCCTGGTTTAGTTCTGGTTTGGTTCTGGTTTGGTTCTGGTTTAGTTCTGGTTTGGTCCTGGTTTAGTTCTGGTTTGGTCCTGGTTTAGTTCTGGTTTGGTCCTGGTTTGGTTTGGTCCTGGTCTGGTTTAGTCTGGTTTAGTTCTGGTTTGGTCCTGGTTTGGTTCTGGTTTGGTCTGGTTTGTCCTGGTTTAGTTCTGGTTGTTCGTTTGGTCCTGGTTTGGTCCCTGGTTTGTTCTGGTTTGGTTCTGGTTTAGTTCTGGTTTGGTCCTGGTTTGGTCCTGGTTTAGTTCTGGTTTAGTTCTGGTTTGGTCCTGGTTTGGTCCTGGTTTAGTTCTGGTTTAGTTCTGGTTTGGTCCTGGTTTGGTCCTGGTTTGGTCCTGGTTTAGTTCTGGTTTGGTCCTGGTTGGTTTGGTCCTGGTTTGGTCTGGTTTGGTTTGGTCCTGGTTTAGTCTGGATTTAGTTCTGGTTTGGTCCTGGTTTAGTCCTGGGATGGTCCTGGTTTAGTTCTGGTTTTGGTCCTGTTTAGTTCTGGTTTGTGGTTCCTGGTTTAGTTCTGGTTTGGTCCTGGTTTGTCCTGGTTTGTCCTGGTTTGGTCCTGGTTTAGTTCTGGTTTGGTCCTGGTTTGGTCCTGGTTTAGTTCTGGGTCCTGGTTAGTTCTGGTTTCCTGGTTTAGTTCTGGTTTGGTCCTGGTTTGGTTTGGTTTAGTTCTGGTTTAGTTCTGGTTTTAGTCTGGTTTGGTCCTGGTTTAGTTCTGGTTTGGTTTGGTTTTTAGTCCTGGTTTGGTCCTGGTTTAGTTCTGGTTTGGTCCTGGTTTGGTTTGGTCCTGGTTTAGTTCTGGTTTGGTTGGTCCTGGTTTGTTCCTGGTTTAGTTCTGGTTGTCCTGGTTAGTTCCTGTTTGGTCCTGGTTTGGTCCTGGTTTAGTTCTGGTTTGGTCCTGGTTTAGTTTGGTTTGGTCTGGTTTGGTCTGGTTTGGTCTGGTTTAGTTCTGTTTGTTCTGTTTGGTCCCTAGTTCTGGTTTGGTCCTGGTTTAGTTCTGGTTTGGTCCTGGTTTAGTTCTGGTTTGGTCCTGGTTGGTTTGGTTGGTCTGGTTTGGTCCTGGTTTAGTTCTGGTTTGGTTTGGTTTGGCCTGGTTTAGTTCTGGTTTGGTCCTGGTTTAGTTCTGGTTGGTTCCTGGTTTGTTCTGGTCCTGGTTTAGTTCTGGTTTGGTCCTGGTTTAGTTCTGGTTTGGTCCTGGTTTTAGTTCTGGTTTGGTCCTGGTTTGGGTTTGGTCCTGGTTTAGTTCTGGTTTGGTCCTGGTTTAGTTCTGGTTTCTGGTTTGGTTTGGTTTGGTTTGGTTTGGTTTGGGTCCTGGTTTAGTTCTGGTTTGGTCCTGGTTTAGTTCTGGTTCTGGTCCTGGTTTAGTTCTGGTTTGGTTGGTTTGGTCCTGGTTTAGTTTCTGGTTTGTTCTGGTTTGGTCTGGTTTGGGTTTGGTCCTGGTTTAGTTCTGGTTTGGTTTGGTCCTGGTTTAGTTCTGGTCCTGGTTTAGTTCTGGTTTAGTTCTGGTTTGGTCCTGGTTTAGTCTGCTGGTTTAGTTCTGGTTTGATCCTGGTTTGGTCCTGGTTTAGTTCTGGTTTGGTCCTGGTTTAGTTCTGGTTTGGTCCTGGTTTAGTTCTGGTTTGGTCCTGGTTTAGTTCTGGTTTGGTCCTGGTTTAGTTCTGGTTTGGTCCTGGTTTAGTTCTGGTTTGGTCCTGGTTTAGTTCTGGTTTAGTTCTGGTTTTGGTTTGGTCCTGGTTAGTTCTGGTTTGGTCCTGGTTTAGTTCTGGTTTCTGGTTTGTTCTGGTTTTGGTTTAGTTCTGGTTTGGTCCTGGTTTGGTCCTGGTTTAGTTCTGGTTTGGTCCTGGTTTAGTTCTGGTTTGGTCCTGGTTTAGTTCTGGTTTGGTCCTGGTTTGGTCCTGGTTTAGTTCTGGTTTGGTCCTGGTTTAGTTCTGGTTTGGTCCTGGTTTAGTTCTGGTTTGGTCCTGGTTTGGTCCTGGTTTAGTTCTGGTTTGGTCCTGGTTTAGTCCTGGTTTGGTCCTGGTTTAGTTCTGGTTTGGTCCTGGTTTGGTCCTGGTTTGGTTTGGTCCTGGTTTGGTCCTGGTTTAGTTCTGGTTTGGTCCTGGTTTAGTTCTGGTTTGGTCCTGGTTTAGTTCTGGTTTGGTCCTGGTTTGGTTCTGGTTTGGTCCTGGTTTAGTTCTGGTTTGGTCTGGTTTGGTCCTGGTTTAGTTCTGGTTTGGTCCTGGTTTAGTTCTGGTTTAGTTCTGGTTTCCTTTGGTCCTGGTTTAGTTCTGGTTTGGTCCTGGTTTGGTCCTGGTTTAGTTCTGGTTTGGTCCTGGTTTAGTTCTGGTTTGGTCCTGGTTTAGTTCTGGTTTGGTCCTGGTTTTGTTTCTGGTTTGTCCTGGTTTAGTTTGGTTGGTTCTGGTTTAGTTTGGTCCTGGTTTTCCTGGTTTCCTGGTTTAGTTCTGGTTTGGTCCTGGTTGGTTGGTCTGGTTTGGTTTGGGTTTAGTTCCTGGTTTGGTTCTGGTTTTTAGGTTCCTGGTTTGTCCTGGTTTAGTTCTGTTTGGTCTGGTTTCCTGGTTTGGTCCTGGTTTAGTTCTGGTTTGGTCCTGGTTTAGTTCTGGTTTGGTCCTGGTTTAGTTCTGGTTTGGTCCTGGTTTAGTTCTGGTTTGTCCTGGTTTAGTTCTGGTTTGCTGGTTTAGTTCCTGGTTTAGTTCTGGTTTGGTTCTGGTTTAGTCTGCTGGTTTAGTTCTGGTTGGTTTGGTTTGGTCCTGGTTTAGTTCTGGTTTGGTCCTGGTTTAGTTCTGGTTTGGTCCTGGTTTAGTTCTGGTTTGGTCCGTGTCTCTTGGAGGATACACAAATGTTTGTTGTAGAGAGTCTTGCTCTGAATCAGAAGCAGCGGCTTTGACACACGCAAACACAACGCACACATTTAACACACACACACAACCGCTCGACGCACACACACACACACACACAACACAACACAACACACACACACAACGCTCGACGCACACACACACACACAACACACACACAACACACACACACACACACAACACAACACAACACACACACACAACCGCTCGACGCACACACACACACAGCCGCCCGATGCACACACACACACACACAACACACACAGGGGGGTTGTGTGTGTGTGTGTGTCTCTGTGTTTGTGTTTGTGTGTGTGTGTATAGTGTGTGTGTGTGTGTGTGTGTTTACATGGGAGATGACAGCAGCAGTTCACAGTTTAAACGTTCTGATCTCAGTCGCTCCATCCGACCGTTTTATCTGCTCACTCTGTTTACTGTGGCTCATTGTGGCTCAGTTTGGCTCAGTTTGGTTTATTCTGGTTCAGTTTAGTTTAGTCTGGTGTTTTATTTTGAAAGGACAGTGTATTGATGGTGGATTATGAAGTCACACATCAGAGTGGCAGGTGCAGAGCTGTGGCAGGTGCAGAGCTGTGGCAGGTGTAGAGCTGTGGCAGGTGCAGAGCTGTGGCAGGTGTAGAGCTGTGGCAGGTGTAGAGCTGTGGCAGGTGCAGGTGCAGAGCTGTGGCAGGTGCTGTAGGTGCAGCTGTGGCAGGTGTGTGGCAGGTGCAGCTGTGGCAGGTGCAGAGCTGTGGCAGGTGCAGAGCTGTGGCAGGTGTGTGGTGGCAGGTGCAGAGCTGTGGCAGGTGCAGGTGTGGCAGGTGCAGGAGACTGTTCTTCTCTCTTCCTCTCGGGGTTAGCGCAGTCCACTGTTTTATTTTGAAATGCTGCTGTATTATTCTGTGTTTTATTTTGAAATGCTTGTTTGGACAGTGATTTCC